CTGCGCTCTGACCCCCAGCTTCTCTCCCTGTCTCTGTGTCTGTGTCTCCATGGAGAAAAGCTGGGGTATGCGAAAAGACACATTCCTAATGCAAGAAATTGTATAGGGCTAATAAAGAAACATTATTATTATTATTATTTTTATGAACAAGTACACCAGATGTTACATTTTTATTTACTTCAATTAAATAAGCATAGCTGTTGAAGAAAACAAGCACCAATCCATCCTTTACCATTGCTCCCTTTTAAATATTTTTATTTCAGAAAAAACATATTTACATGTACAATATGACAGAGGCAAAAGGAGGGTATCCTTGTGACATTCTTAACTCAAGTTTCAAATGGCTCGCTGGTCAAAAGTTAACTCCAAGGTTTGTGAATCCAAACGTTGGGTGCAGACTTAGCTTTACTGCTCATTTTCAACTTTCCCCATTTAAGGCAAGTAATGTACTGTACCTCTGCAGCTGAAATTTAATAAGATGAAGCGAAACGAGATCACAAGGCCTGTGTTGTCTGTTAATCACAGGCAGCTACATCCGACTAGAAGAATTAACAACAAAAAAGGATGTGTTAGTGGCAAATTAAAGGAATGCCAGGAAAAGGGGATAAACAAGCTGGTAGTTTCCCAGCAGTGCTCCGGAGCGCGACATTAAGATGGACATGCTGTTTCCTTTATTTTTCCAGGAGGATCTTAAACCTCAGGACATTGAGCAGATCATCGAGGAGCTGAAAAGTGGAAAAGTACCAGTGCCTGGTCCAAGGTACGGTTCATTACATTTTGTGAAGCTTCAGCTCATGGAAATCTTTGCACAGCAGCAAAGAGGAACATGACGTCACTCGCAAAGCTGTCCTTCCTGCCGCTGGCTTCCCGACTTTAAAAGGCACTTCAGCTCCATAAAAATACCAAACACAAACAGTTGAGCAATAAGAATTGTTCAGAATAACGGACTTAGTCTGTAGCTCAATAGTGAAACTGCAACTCTGGATGTCACATCTGTTTCTCTTCAAGGTGCTGCTTGTATCTTGCATCATACTGAAAGATTTTAATATTTACAGTAAAAAAAAAAACTGTCCACTTAACCGCAAGATTCTCTCATCTGTAGGAGTTAGTCGTGCCTGTAGGATATTCTTAAGACCAATTATTGTCATGATGCAAATGTTGATCTGTGCTTTTCAAGGAGTGGCCGCTTCTCCTGTGAGCCAGCCGGCGGGCTGACGTCTCTGACAGGACCCCCCCCCGGGCCCGGGTTCGGCGTGAGACCGGATCTCTAACGGCTCTGATCGGGCCGGACGCCGGCGGCGCCGCCCCACTTCCGATAACTGGGGCCCCGAGAACATTGTGTAAATAAAGGATTTCTGGTGAAGAGGATCTCGTTTGCTTTATCTCGGTGTGCACGGACAAAATGCTTAGTCTGCTAGAGCCACATTTTTAAAAAGATACTGGTCCGCCAGTCAGAGAGCTGGTTCCCTTGCATGCTTTTTTTAATATACGCCATCACGTCACCACATCAGGTGGTGTTAAATGAAAAGGTAGGAAAATAAAAGGCGGCAACGTCGCTATACAAACTACCTGCAGTAACTGCACAACATGGGTCGTTCAATTAACACCTCTGGAACCAACCTTAAAAAGACTGGGTATCTTTTAGTTTTCTGGATACAAGGAATACACAATCTCTTTATTGCAATGACAATTCATCATCCACAGCAGAACTAAAACAGTAGACTGGGTAAAAACAAAAACTTTTGCAGTTCACAGCTATTTCATGCTGAAAGCAAACTTGTTTCAAAGGTTTACAGTCCTTTCTGTATAGGAGGATGAAGACCTCACATCATACATAGTCGTGAATCACATTTAAATCAATAGGGAAAAGGTCTGTAAAATAACAGCTGAAATTATCATACTAGGCTAAACATGAAGATTGAGTTCCAGGAATGAAGAGAGACAGTTGGAAAAAAAAAAACACACTGGACCCCATTCAAGCCAAAATGCACTTCAATGCCAAGTGTTTTTCTCATATTAGTATTAAATTAATAGTGTATTATTAGTAACAAGAAATGATTACGGCTTTTCCAATAGCAATCATTGTGAAGACAAATGGCAGAAACTGGATGAAAATGCAGCCTGTGTAAACAGCTTTTGAGAGAAAACAACGGCTGTTTTGCAGATGCACAAGGTGCAAGCAGCTCTTCTGAAAGTGCGACTCTCCAATGGCTTCCCCTAGTTCACAGTAACCCAGTGATTCATCACGCTCACATTGGTTTTACTTGAGCAGCTGGAACTCCTGTGGCCTCTAACCCCTGAAACCCACGTTTCTTTCACGCAGAACACCTGCTACAAAGACCACACATTCAAAGAATTTAAGGTACACTATTTTACCGATTACTTTTAATTCTAAAAATACATTTCCATAACTTAAAGGTTAACACTGAAGTCTAGGAGGGCAACTCTTGAGTTTTAAAAGGCTTGCTACTCAGCAATGGGGGAAGATGACCAATGTTTTCTGTCATACCGAAAGTTTACTGTGGTCTTGAGTTTGTTAAATGTCATTTTAAACAAGGCCTGTGTAAGAAAAAAAAAAACTTTTGCAATTCAAACCGCAACAGAAATTCTGCTTGCAATCATAGTGAAAATGATTTGGTGGTAAGAAATATTTCTCTAGGAATGTGACAAACAGGAGATGTCACATCAAAGAATTACAATGCTACTTGACATTTAAGTAGGAAAGTGCACATTAAGAGTGAGTTACAAGGTCACATCTAGGATACTGCTTAAATCGCCAAGTAGTAGCAGACTTACACTGTCAAAATGAACGCACGAGTGCATTAAAAGCTAATGTTCAGTATTTTTAGGAACAACAGAGTGGAGAAAACAGTAACTTTGATTTTCCAGGTTATATTTTAAAGTGAAATACAAGAGAGGGGGTGTGATATCACAGACAACACTTCAGTGCTTCAGCCATGCTCATTCCAAAGTACTGACTCCCTAAACAAAACACTGCTCCTGCTCCTCTAGGGCATCAAAGATCACATCACACTGGAGGCTTCCTAACCTAAACCACTCGCATTTGAACACGTCTGAAAAACTAAGGCACTTCTGCCGGGGGTCACGCAGTGATGAAACATGCACTGCAGATCAGTGGGGTGCTGATGCACTAGGAAACGACGAGTCTCTACGAAGAGAATCTCCTTTTGTCACTGCAGTGGACTTTGGTGGCGAAACCAACACTAGACTCATGCTACAAAAAAAAAGGCAAAAAGACATTTCTTTAGAACAATTACAAGAGGGTGTTTGGCCCATCAGCCCTTTCATTTATGAAAAGAAGCCTCATCAACAGCTTCAACGACATGACTGAGTAACTTGTTCCACACACCCACAGCCCTTTGTGTAAACAACTGCCTCATCTCCGTAAAGGGGGCTCACGTGTAGTCCTTTTGAGAACAGCTACCTTTTTTTTTTTTTAAAGGGAAGAGGGATTCAAAAGGTGAAACCCTCTCCCCCACCTTCAAAAGAGATCATTTCAGTACGTGACCCTGAAATCTTGAGCTGTTGTAGACGATGTCCCTCTGAACACTGCTCACTGCCTGCCCACCCCCACACTCCCTGTGCTGACAGCCTGTCAACACGGCAGTCCTGGTGACCAAGGATGCACTAGGACAGGCCTTCTGAAGTCAAACACGGGTGTCATTTCACAACGTGCTACAAGAACTGTCCGCCACGGCGCCGGAGCGCAAAATAGCGACTCGGAAATAATAATAAAAAAGGCTTTAACGTGCAATTAAAAAAAAGCAATCCTGATCCTTGATGTGGCCGGGGGGAGCCGCTCGCACAGGGACGAGCTCAGCCGTGCAGCAGCAGCAGCAGGACCGGTCTTCACTGAGCCTGCCTGCCGGCGCGCGCCTCACGTTCCCCTGCGCTGACATTTCCATTCCGCCCCACGCGCCGCCGTCTCGCCCCCCCCCCTCTCCCTTCTCCTGCAGCACGGACGCGGCGCTCGCGGCTGTGACTCACGCCTGTTCCGCAACACAAACACAACGCCCGCGCATGCGCACTCCCGCTCGCGCGCAAGGACACACACAAATCACACTGCGCCACAGGTCCGTCCCCCCCCCACCCACAGCGCCAGCCCCGAGGAGTCCGGGGTCCCGTGAGGCAGCACGGCAGGTACCCCCCTCGCCTGAAGCCCGGCCGCCGGGTCGCCCACGGGCCGCCGCCGCCGCCGCTCCGCGCGCCCCTTCCGCGCCGTTCCAGAACATTCCAGCCGCAGCCGAGCGCGGAGCGGAAGGGTGACGTCAGGGCGCCGGCGTCACTCACCCCCTGCTCGCCGCCCCGCAAGGAGCCGCCAGCCCGGTCTCCGCACTGGCCCCGGCGCGAAAAAAGACCTCCAAACCCTGCACCGTGCCCACTTGCCGACCCCCCCCACCCCGATCCGTCCTTAAACTCGGCTTTCAGCTCAGCACAAAGTCAGCCTCCGCTTTCATACTGCTTTCCTCCCCCCGCCGGAGCTGCGGGTCAGAGGGAAGGGGGGGCGCCGCCGCGCAGCCAATCAGCGGCGGCCGGAGGGGGGTCACGTGGGCGCGGCGGCGCGGCGGTTGGGGCTCCGCTTAGAGACGGCCAGGGGTGGGGGGGGCGAATGTTTTCAAACCAGCGGAAAGCTGGGAAGGGATGATTTACTTGGGGTTTTGTTTAAATGTGAAATATCCTGACGATTATCGGCGAACTGCGATACCCTGGTGTGTGAGCCCGCCCGGAGGAGTAGCGGGACCCGAATCGCCTCGCAGAAAGGTAAGCGAATTCAGCGATATTTTTTTTTTTTTGGTGGTGGTTTCTTCTGGGGGGGGGAGAAAAAATAAAAGGCTTAATGCCCTAGGAAAACGGGATCTTTCGGACGGCCAGGTTGCCTTCAATGGCCCCCTTTTTTTTTGTGTTGTTTTTCTCGTGTGTATGTGTGTGATTTCGACCCCCTCGGCGGCGGCGGCGCGTCGCGTCACCCTGGGCCGTCTCGCGGCGCTGACAGCTCGCGGGGGTCGGGGCACGGGGCACGGGGGGGAGGAGAGTCGCGAGACTGCGGCGCGAGGGGCTCGGGGCTCTTGGCCCCGGCGGGCGTGCGCCCTTGCGCTGTGCGCGCCCCCGTGGCCCGGGGCCCTGTCCGGAGCGGCTCCCGGCTGGTCGGGGGGGGGTCGGGCTGTCAGCCGGCGCTGGGACCCCGCTGGCGTGGGTCGCGGGGGCGGCGTGGACTCTGCGGGTGACCGGGGGAGGGTGTGCGTGCGGCCGCTCGCCCCTTCTGCGTGGAGAAACCTTTTGTCTGGCGCACGGCCGCGGTCTCCTTGGCCGTGGGGCGGCGAGTTGTAGGGCTGTGCTCGTGTCGTGGGCTGGAGTCGCTCAGCTGTCCCTCCTTTCTTCTTCCTTCATTACCGAAGACGCAGCGCAGCATCTACCCGTTGCTACGCGTTTCGCCTTTTCTTTGAACAAAAAGAAGTGGGAATTTTTGTCCCCCCCCTCGCAGCTCAGTTCAGCCGGTCGTTTTCTCTGATTTTCACGCTGTGTTTCAGCCGAAGCCTGCCTGCTGTATTCGTTTTTAGCCATGCCGCTGATAGCACGATATTGGGTGAAGAAAAGGGGAAATTTCTTGCTCTCAGTCTTGGCAAAGGTACCCTGTTCCCCCGGAGGTTTCTGGCCTTAAGGACCGTCCTGTTAAAATGCGAGTCAAAGCTGTTTTATGATAAACACGCAGTTCGTCGCATTCAGCTGCTGTTCTGGTCTCTAGGAATAAGGTGTTCCCTGCTGCGTAAATGTCTAATAATGACATGTGAGCCCAACAGGGGCTCTTAGAGGGGGCTTTCTAGTCCGTAATAATTTGAGAGTTGCAGCAGCTGACGTGGATGGTGCCTTGCAAACGATAAGCCGCAGGTTAGAAACTGGAAATACAGACGCGTAGCCCGCTATCAAAGACCACTTCTTACATATTGAATCTCTTTCTAAGCAATAATGTCAATGCCTTCAGAGTGTCGCATGCCTGCGTTGTTTTGGCCCCCGATCTGGGCTTGAAAACAGTCGCACGCCTCTGAAATGAGAGCAGACAAGCGATCCGTCCGTCTGTGGAGTGTTGCTGGGGGACCCGAGCTACCTTCTCCGAATAACCCTGTGGTTCAAGCGCCCCAGGTGATGGTTTTGTTGCTGATCTGCAACATCAGGAGTTGGCCAACCTCGTGTGCGCTGTTTCAGTACCGTATTAATATACTCCTGGCTTTAAACGTCTATGAAAGCGAAGCCATTCGTTCGGGATATTTCCATGCTGAGAAAGGCGTTTCGTCTGCCGCACGGTGTGTGCCGCTCAGCAGTCCGGCCCATGAGCATCAATGTCTAGTCGCCTGATCTTGATCGTATTTTTTTTTTTACAGCGATGGGGGGATATCCGATCTCCCTTCCCCGAGTCTTATATATATATATGTACCTTATTTACATTTATGTAAATGTATGACATTTTTGAATCGGTCACAGGGAATCAGAGAGCAGCTCTGGGTTTTCTTTAGGGAACTGATAGAAAACAGCCTCATCACCACGAGCTTTTTTTTTTTTGCGGTGATGGAGGCCAGCTCACGTGCCTGCGGAGGCTCCCGCCGCCTGGTCTTTCTGTTTATTCAGAAGATGTGTATTATCGTAAATTGAAGCAGCATGTGGAATTTCGTTTTTCTTCGATGGCATTTCTGATTCTGTTCCTCGGTATTCACAAGCGTGGATTCAGGGTCGGTGGCTCCTGTGTTTTAAAAGAGAAAAACGCATTTTTAATTTTAGTGCAGTATGCAATACCTTTATAGCATCTATAATGACCTTGAGGTGTATGTAACTGCACAGTGATTGTTTTTATATGAGTAAATGGAATGTCATCCCCCCTCCACAGACCTGTTCATTCAGGAGAAGAGTGGATTTGCCTTGCTTTCCTGAGGTCATTCACTTCTGTCTGCTGAAGCCACATGAAGGAGGATTGTTGGCTGCTGTTGGACACAGAGTATGATCTTTGGTGGTTTTTCCTACAGGGCTTTAGGTTTACATTACAGTTAAAATAAACAGCATAATCCCTCTGGTACATAAACAGCTGGTTTTGACATTGTTGTTTTCTATTTTCAAGCTGTCCTGATTTGATGTGTAATATTTGAAAGTTAAATTGTGTCTGGCAGGATTTCACTTAACAAGGCCTAATGTATTGGACTGCACTGGTACTATAAGGAAACATCTTTTTGTAAAGTCTGTCTTAGAGGAGCATTCTAACCAGTTTTGATGTACTGTAGTTCCAATCTGGTTTATAATTTGCCACTTAACGAAATTGATTCCAAAACTTATAACAAGTAAAAGCTTGTTATTGAAGCTTGTTATTGTTAAGAATTAAAGAAATCCTGTTCTAAAGATGGAGATTAATTAACATTACAGTATGTATGGTCATATAAGTAAATACTTTGTTCTGAATGGTACAAAATCCTTAGTGAAGATCTCTTGCCAATTTTGCTACTTATCTGCATGTAGCAGACTGGACGTCATTTGAGGTCTCTTTTATGTGAATGATCTAATATAGGAATGTGAGCCCCAGATGTCACACGCAGTTCTTTATACTAGTTTTGTTAGTCCGTTTAGTGTTTCAGAACTATAAAAAGCATCACTTCATTTTTCTGTGTGCAACGTGTCTTCATGTCTAGTTGTTACCATCAGATGATTTAAAAATACATTATTTCTTTCTTTTACTTTATAATGTAGTTATAGTATAAAATATTGAAAAAACAGCATTTCAACAGTTGTAGCTTAATACCCTCTATATCAAGTGTTTTTAAAGAGCTTTCATAGCAGTCGTGGGTGATTCTTTCAAGTTTCACTGTCATAGCGAGTGGTACTAAAATGAGTCAGACTTTGACCCATTGCTGAGTTGGACCCTGGCTTTCATATACTGAAAATTCCCTGTGAGAGCCCGCTGTACTATAAGTGATGATTAACTAGGCTAGCAGGAGGAAAAGGCTAAGTGCATTTTCTTTTATGGTCAGGTCTGTGTGACAGTAGCTGGTCTTCCATTATGTGCAGGTATTAAATTACATTCTGGCCATCTTTGCTGAGGTTTTGAAAATCAGATATTCTCACTAGTCTTTCTAGAGTATGATTTTACTTTTCTAAATTGGTCTAAGTGTGTGCCTGAAGAGACTTTCATGTTAGAAATTGTGTGACATAGTAGCGTTTTCTCACGCTGGCATTTGGCATTTGGCAGAGGTAGATTAATGTTTGTATTTAGTTTGTGTATGTTTTTTAGCAATAGACCTTCTAGGGTTACCAGTTTCCTCTTTTTTATGAGATGGAAACTTTACTATGCTGATTATTTGTATGTGGAAAACCCCTGAAACTGTCAAATGTCAGGTTGCATGCTTCCTTCTCAAAATACATTACAGTGCTGAGTTTATCTGAATAACCACTGACCAGTATGACACAAAATCTTCTGACAAAATAAAAGTCAGTCCTAATAAGCACAGGGATTTTCTCTTTTTGTCATTCGTGTACAACAAAAGCTCAGATGTAGTTGATCCCAGGTTTGTAAAATCTAAAACAATGGGAATTCTGTCAGTGTGAATACTGTGCTATTCAGCTAACAGGGTGCCCCTGAATTGTGACGACTTGCTTAAAATTCAGTCATATCAAAAAGGCACCTCGATTGAGGTATTCGAACACGGGTACCTAAGGCATAGAGTTTTATTTTTCCAAAAAACAATTTGAATTCTACAACTAATTTTGTTCTGGCTGAATCGATAAAAAACAGACTAAGCAGTTATGTTTGTTATTGTCATATACTACTGTGAAAAGACTGTCAAAGAGAAAGCCCTGTCGAGCTGAGAATGAAAAGGTTTTCTTGTCTTTGAATTTGAATCATTTTAGGATTAGAGTTGAAATGTACAGCATAAAAAGCAAAAAGCTGATATACAGGTTTAATAGCCTTGTGCTGCTGTGTGTCTTCTTTGTAGGCCTTTCTCTTTTACAGTTGAGCCACATTACTGTTACTGGCATAATATGTAAAAGGCATTTGAACTCCACTCTATAAGGGAAGAGCAAGAAGAGATTGGTGTCTTTGTTTAGTGTTTTAGCTGTTCATTCTGTTCTTAGATTAGGACCTTAACCTGAGTGCTCTGTCAAGTTTTCATATCACTCTGGTAAAAAAAAAAACCCTGCACCTTAATTTGAGCATTTTGGTTGGAGTAGTGCTCCCTCTTTTTTTTTTTTCCCTGCTTTATGGGTCATTTAAACACGGCCATCAGCTAAAGGGCTGCCCACACTGACAGTGACCGGGAGACCACATGCCTGCGCCCTCAGTGGCTCGGGATGGGGCTTTATTATTGCAGTGGAGTGGATCTGCATAGATGATGCTGCATAGGTGTTTTTTTTTAAAAAGGAACAGCATTTAAATAAAAAAAATGTATAATTTTAAAATTAAATAAAAAAATTTAATTCAGTTTTTTGAACATTCTGATTCGACAGCTATTTTATTTGTTTAATAACTACACAGTTCGGAGCTGTGCCGTGTATCTGACTCTGGTGTATGATACTCCTGCGTTGCTCAGGGGAGATGGAGACATGTAGGCCTGCTTCTTCACCGCATGTCACACCTCCAAAAAAACAAGCCGCATAACCGTCTGCCAGCTCCACAATGCCTTGTGGGTGAGTCGGCGCTGATTGGACGAGGGGAATGTCTTTCACTGTCGTCAGGGTGAGGCAGGCGGCTGACTGACTGCTCCCAGCCTGCACCGGCGGCACTTGGT